AAAAATGGTAATGGGAACTCCGCTGCTCCCTCCCATGTCATCCCACTTGCCCTCTTGTTCCTGAGCCCTCTCTGCCTCGGGTACACGACCACACACATCTCTGGCTCACCAGGGTTAGCAACTCTGTGGAAGGAGATCACGCAGAAACCAGGTCGGTCTGAGCATCCGCCAGCCTGGCAACACCAGGCCATGGCCCTTCCCGCTTCCCACCCCAGGTGTGGCCTCAGCCGTCAATGCCTTTTGGAGACTCCCTTTCCAGGAGACACCACCTCCTCTGCCTTCTGCACTTCTGGCCAGCTGCCCCTCCCTCACCAGGCCCAGCCTTCCGCTTCCCTATGCTTGCTGACCCCAATTCCAGAGTCTCTTGTGGGTCTCCACCCAGCTGGGGTGGCTCCTGCAGGGGGGCTCACAGGCGCCTGTGCCTGCGGCTCCAAGCCGCGTGGAACCCTCAGAGGTCTCTGGGAAGACATCTGCCTTTCCTCAGCCCAGCTCCTTCTCCAGAGCTCTTGGACTCAGGGGAAGGTGAGCCTAGGCCCCTGATCCTGGGGTGCCCCGCCCCGTCACTGCCACGCCATTCCTCTAGCCACCCCAGAGCCTCCACAACTCACCAATGAAGTCATTGAAACACTTGGCTTGTTTTGCCAGTAAACACCCAGGAAATAGACGGGCACTCCTGTCAGCCATGATGGCCAGGCCGGTGCCCACACGACCGGCTCCGACCACAGGCTGAAGACCAGCAGGAAGGCCCAGAACAGCAATAGATGATGGGAACAGCAGGTTGATCTGTGGAGCGGAGGCACTGTGAGCTATGTGGTCCCGAGCCCATGCTCGGGGCATCTCCTCAATTCTTCCCCACAGGGAGGCTTTTTTTGTTTGTTTGTTTGAGACAGAGTCTCGCTTTGTTGCCCAGGGGTAGAGTGAGTGCCGTGGAGTCAGCCTAGCTCACAGCAACCTCAAACTCTGGGGTCAAGCGATCCCTCCTGCCAGCCTCCCGATAGCTGGGACTACAGCATGTGCACCATGCCCGGCTAATTTTTCTATATATTTTAGCTGGCCAATTAATTTGTTTCTATTTTTAGTAGAGAGCGAGGTCTCACTCTTGCTCAGGCTGGTTTGTGAATCCTGACCTCGAGCAATCTGCCACCTCGGCCTCCCAGAGGTGCTAGGATTACAGGCATGCGCCACTGGGCCGCTCAGTTGGAGTTTAAGACTTAGAGTAGTAGGAAAGAAAGAATGACATGACGAAAGTGACATTTAATCTTATTCCCCAGCTGCGAATTTGCTGTGGCCCTGTTCCCCATGGGAGAATGGACGTGGCTGTCCCATTCGCACATGGTCGCTTGCTTCCCAAAGGATGGAGATGATGGTCTGTGGTCAGTAGCTAGAGAACAGAGGCGATTTAAAAATTGAACCATAGAGGAAGGGGAGTGGACCCCCAAGGAGGTCTCTCACCTTGATGGGCCGGGGGAAGTCAGGCTTCTTCAGCGAAGGACTATCTGTCCAGCAATCGTGACCCCCATAGAAGAGGTAGTTGATGAAGCCACGTAGTTTGATGAGTGTGTACATGTCTGTGACAGCATCAGCAGGGTGGAGATGCACTGGGGAGGGGGGAGAAGCTGTCAGTGATCAGAAAGGCATTCAGAGACTGGAGGAATGTTTACAGTCAGGGGCTGCCTCCCAAGCTCCGGGCACACGATGCCATGTCTCAAAATGGAGACTTTACAAACTCGTTTAGTAACCCAGGCTGTTACTAACACCTTCATTGCTCGGAAGTTCTTTCTTATTGCAGGTGTGATAATCAAAATATTTAACCACTGGTGTAGCATGGGCACTAACCAATCTGGTCACAAACTGGCCATACTGGTGTTACCTGGTTCTGTGTCAGCCCTGGTCTCATTTACATTTCTCTCTTGGTTATAGCTCAAGCTAATTTCTAATGTTTTATCCCCTAGGGAAGATTGTTAACTGCAGATTAATGCTTATTCTTACCCTCATCCTTTCCTCCTGGCTGAGTCATCTAATTTATTTTCCACGTTCGCTCCTTCTCTCCACCATCCCTCCCCTTCATTTTCCTTTCCCTTTCTTCTTAATTTCATTTTTTTTTTTTAGACAGAGTCTCACTCTGTTGCCTGGGCTAGAGTGGCCGTGAACAGTGCCTCGCTCACCAGCAATCTCAGCGATCCTCCCTGCCTCAGCCTCCCCAGTAGACTGGGAACTACAGGCCATGCGCCGACACCCAAACCTGTTAAATTTTTCTATTTTTCAGTAGAGACGGGTCTCATCTCCTTGTGCCAGGCTGTTCATTGACTTCTGAACTCAAGCGATCCTCCCCCCCCACCCCCCCACCCTTGGCCCTCCCAGAATGCAAGTTAATAGGTGTGAACACCACGCCCGGCTCCCTTTCTTAATTTCATAACCAGTTACAAAACACTTACTATGTGCCAGGTCCTATTTTTAGCATTCTACAAATATTAACTCTAACCCTCGTAACATCCCCATGAGTTTTCTTGATGGAGTCCACTTTCCAAATTTAAATTATCTCTGTCTCTCTCTCTCAAAACCATACTCTCTCCCTCTGAAGATTTGTTACCTCAAAAACTTAGTTTCTCCCGTGAGCCCTGATGTCGGAATATCGAGATTTACTGAGTGAATAGGCCTGATTCTTGCTATACTTGCCTGCAGCAAGTTGGCATGCCAACAGCTCAAACTCGGCGAAGAAGTATTGGCCACTGGGGCATATCATCGTCTCCACCACCTCTTTCAACAGCTAACCAATCAGGTGACCCATAACTGTATCGTGTACATTCTGAATTGCCCTCGAGTGTTGTATGATGCTCTTGACTCCCAAGGGCTCTGTTATCCTGATCTCTAGCTGCTTTTTGGTGGAACAAGTCCATTTTACACTGTTTTATATCAGGTCAACATTAGGGAAATAGATTATTATTAAAGCTCATGGGTATCGTTTGCCAGATTCTCTAAGACCCAGTGAGACCTAGGAGCAGACCAGAAGGGTGCAAGGGGCATGTGTGGAAAGTGTGAACCCCCAGCTTAAGAGTAGGCACAAAGAGAGGGAGGATGTGTGGGGTTGGCAGCAGGAAGGACCCTTACTGTGAAGAGCAGGGCTGGGATTGGGGTGCAGCGCCTCACGTGGATCATGGCCAGCACTCTGGGAAGGTGGCCCTCTCTGGCTCCAGCAAAGAACAGCCTGGCAGGGAGAAACACAGGTCAGCCTGGGGTAGCCCGTGGACCACCAAGCCCGGGCTCCCTCCTCCATGCCTCCCTTCTGCCCACACAGGGGCTCCCCCTCTAACCAGGTACTTGCGTTTGGATTCACACCTTCTAGACCACTAACCATGAGACCTGTGCTCACAAATGCAGGTGCAGGCAAACCAGAGGCAGCCAGTGGATATGTGGATGAGTCCCGGGTTCGTGGAAACCCTGAGTATGGTCTGGGTGGCTCAGGGTTACAAGTGATTATACCGTCACTGTGCGGGCTGCTGCTCCCAGTGTGTGGAAGGTGCAGGCGCAGCCTCTACCTTTTGCTTAAAGTCTTCAAACCTTTAAAAGCGTGCCTCCCCATCCCCAAGGGATACAGATTCTCTGCTATGCTGGGACTGAACGTGGAAAGCTTTAAGAACATTTTTATCCTAGTCAGAGAGTAGCTGCCTTTGTAGGGGTGGGGAATAGGTGGTGGAAACTGTCTGTACCTTACTTTGGGTGGTGGTTACATGGCTGTCTACAATTGTCAAAACTCATCAAACTGGAGCCAGGCACAGTTGCTTGTCCCTATAGTCCCAGCTATTAATACTTGGGAGGCTGAGGCAGGAGGATCAGTTGAGCCCCCAGGAGTTCAAGGCTAACCTGGACAAGATAGTGAGACCCTGTCTCTAAAAAAAAACAACAGTTTTTTCAGCTCATCAAACTGAACACTCATGATCTGTGTATTTTATGTAAATTGTATTTAAAATTTGTATCCTTAGGCTGGGCACAGTGGCTCACGCCTGTAATCCTAGCACTCTGGGAGGCCGAGGCAGGTGGATTGCTCAATGTCAGGAGTTCGAAACCAGCCTGAGCAAGAGCAAGACCCCGTCTCTACTATAAATAGAAAGAAATTAATTGCCACAAAAATAAATAACAAAAATTAGCCGGGCATGGTGCGCATGCCTATAGTCCAGCTACTCGGAGGCTGAGGCAGAAGGATTGCTTGAGCCCAGGATTTGAGGTTGCTGTGAGCTAGCTGATGCCACGGTACTGATTCTACGCCTGGGCAGCAAAGCAAGATCTGTCTCAAATAAATAAATAAATAAAAATAAATAAAATTTGTACCTTTAAAGCTGTTTATTCCAAGAAGCCATCCAAGAGAAATGAACAGAGTTGGTGGAAGGTATATATATATATATATATATATATATATATATACAAACAAAGATATTCTGATAAGAAAGAATTGGAAATGTCCTAAATGCTTAAAAGTAGAAGGTTGATTAAATTTGGCATAAGATGGAATATTTTAGTCATAATAATGTTTTTGAAAAAAGAGATTACATGACAACATGCTTACAGTATAATGTTAAATAAAATAAGCAGGATAGAAAACTATAATTCCAATTAATTAAAAAATTTATGGGCCTGTAAAAATACATTAAAATGCCAACTGATTATCTCTGAGTGGTAGGATTATGAGTAATTAATTAATATTTATTTATTTATTTATTTATTATGAGATAGAGTCTCACTTTTGTTGCCCAGGCTAGAGTGCTGTGGCGTCAGCCTAGCTCACAGCAACCTCAAACTCCTGGGCCCAAGTGATCCTCCTGCCTCAGCCTCCCAAGTAGCTGGGACTACAGGCATGCACCACCATGCCTGGCTAATTTTATATATATAAATATGTTTAGTTGGCCAATTAATTTCTTTCTATTTATAGTAGAGATGGGTCTCGCTCTTGCTGTAGCTGGTTTTGAACTCCTGTCCTTGAGCAATCCACCCGCCTCGGCCTCCCAGAGTGCTAGGATTACAGCCGTGAGCCACCTTGCCCAGCTGGATTATGAGTAATTAAAAAAAAAAAACCAAAAAAACAAAGGTTGGCATGTGGCTCACGCCTGTAATCCATATAGAATACAATAGAAAATACATATAGAAAAAATATACATAATACATATAGAAATTAGCTGAAAAAACCAATAAAAAGAATTTTCTTTTTAGAGATAGATTCGCTCTGTTGCCTGGGCTAGAGTGCAGTGATGTGATCAGAGCTCACTACAGCCTTGAACCCCTGAGCCAAAGCAATCCTCCTGCCTCACCTTGTCAAGTAGCATGAGCCACCACATCTGCTAATTTAAAAACATTTTTTGTAGAGATGGAGGTCTCACTATGTTGCCCAGGATAGTCTCAAACTCCTGGCCTCAAGTGATCTTCCCACCTTGGCCTCCCAAAGTGCTGGGATTATAGGCTTGAGCCACTGTGTCTGAAAGTATTTTGTAAAAGAGAACTTTTATCTGCTATTTCCTCACAAAAAAAAAAAAAAAGGGTTCCCTGGAAACATACTCTGAGATGGAAAAAATATAAAAATAAAAAAATAAAAAAATAAATTTTAAGAGAATAATTTGAATGTTCCTAGCATAAAGATAAATATTTAAAGTGATGATATCCCAATTACCCTGATTTGATCTTTACATATTATGCAAATATATCAAAATATCATGTGTACCCTGAAAATATGTACATCTATTATGCATCAATAAAAAAAGAGACATTTTTGACCAGGCGCGGTGGCTCACGGCTGTAATCCTAGCACTCTGGGAGGCCAAGGCGGGCGGATTGCTTGAGGTCAGGAGTTCGAAACCAGCCAACCCCGTCTCTACTATAAATAGAAAGAAATTAATTGGCCAACTAATATATATAGAAAAAATTAGCTGGGCATGATGGCACATGTCTGTAGTCCCAGCTACCCAGGAGGCTGAGGCAGGAGGATTGCTTGAGCCCAGGAGTTTGAGGGAGGTTGCTGTGAGCTAGGCTAATGCCACGGCACTCAGTCTAGCCTGGGCCACAAAGCAAGACTCTGTCTCAAAAAAAAAAGAGAGAGATATTTTAACATAAAGAGCAGTACTTTTCCCCTCTCCTACGAAAAAAGAGAATACCATAAGCTGTTAGTAGTCATTTATATCTTAGTGCAAATTAGGCCATTGTTCTTTTCTCTAAGGAAAGGAGCACTTAAGGGATGAGAGGAAGGGAATAGTGTGATTGGGACAGAAAGGTACAGGCCCAGCACACTGGGAGCTCTGAAGAGAACTGTCACTTACTATGTAACTTGTGTATGGGGTAGAGTGCAGCAGCTCATCATAAGTATGGGAGTTGACTGTGCCCCAAGTACCCATGAGCAGCGACCACCATGAACTACCTAGGCTAGTGTCACTGGTTTCATGCAGCCACACGCATCCTTGCCCCTCCCCCCTGCTCCTGCCCCGTCTACAGTGCAGCCTCATACACCAGACTGAGCCCCCGCTGCCCTGTGGGCCTCACTGTGCACATAGCCAGGGCCCCGCACTCACATCCTTCCTCCACATGCAGCCAGGACAAAGTGTAAATGTCCAGGTCCAACAGCATTCGCAAGTGTCAAGTTCACAAGAGACAATCCTTGCCCAGTTAGCCGACAACAGAGGAGACGATGACATTAAGCATAGCACACGCCCACACACACTCCGACTCCTCAGGAAGGACCATCTTCTCCATACCCCAGAAGATAAGAGAGAAAAAGAGGAGGGAAGGAGGTGGAAGGAAAGAAGGAACTGGGAAGGTGAACGAAGGAGGCCTGGGTGGGTGAGGTCTCGCCTCAGAATCAGAGGCCGAGCACACCATGCGCCATCTCTGCATGCACGCACAGCTACACCACATGCATGCAGACCGCTGCTTGGCCTCTGCAGACCCCACTCTAAAGCGACTGTAGCCAGTCGCTCTCCTCCAATAGATCCCCGGAAGCCTCATGGGTCACTGCTCTTCCACTGCTCGCCCTCGGCTGGGGCCTCCAGGTGCCACTGCTCCTGTGTAACACGCACATGAGGTTGCTGCGGGTGAGTGCCACAGGGTCCTGGGGTACGGGGCATACCCCCACACCACCTCGTTCCTGCCCTGGGTCCTGAAAACAGGGCACTCCCTTGTCATTTCACAGGAACTCCTCCCTGACGGGATGGCGCTGGAAGCAGCTGAACTCAGGGACTCATCTTTTGAGCAGGACTGTGCCCTGAGGGATGGGGGCTTCCTAAGAACCCTGGGAGGACCCCTCGAACCACGCAAATGAAAATCATGCAACATCCGCCAGCCTCAACAGTCCATTCTAAAGACAGCAAGAAGGGACACAAACGAGGGGCTGGGTCCCTGGATGTGTGGAGGCAGGAGCTGGGACTCCTGGGCCCACTCATGCTTCTGGCTTCCCAGAAAGTTTTGGGGTAGAGGTCACAGCTGAAAGGTTCTTTCTTTGGAAGAACATTTTCTTTCCACTCTCCCCATGCTCTCTCTCACTTCACATTCTTCACCTGAGGCTCACAGGCGGCACGTGAAGGCCTTCGCAGCTGCCTGTCTGTTGAGCAGGGAGGAGCCCTGCATCCTCAGGGCCTTCAGAGTGATCCCGTCCACCTGCAGTCTGCTTCCAGAACATTCATGGGAGGCCAGACCCAGAGGCCCCAGGTACAAGTCTCCCTTCTGGTCCCTTTCAGAGTGGGGTTCCTTTCTAGCCAGCAGAGCCTCGTTCCAGGTGAGTGGAGACGGGGGCTCTAGGACTGCAGCCAAGACACTGTCCTGCTGCTATCCACGCCCCTGACTGGGACTGCCTCAGGCAGGCCCTGGGCCCTCTCAGTCTTCTGCTAATTTTGAAATGAGGTAAGCCACTACCTGTGAAGCACCTAGGATCTGTGTGTCACACACATCGTAGGTGACCACACGGGCAGCACACACCCGTCAGTGTCCACACTGACATGCACACCTCACCTGAGCAATTGCCCGGTGAAGCCCACCATCCAGGTGCCCACAGACCCCCACTGACAGAGACAAGCCCGCCACATACACACAGAGCAATGTGCACGGCAGAGCAGCCCCAGCCCCGGAAGGGCCCAGGCAGCACTCACCGGGAGGAGGTGAAGAGTGACCCGTTAACGCCTCCAAATGTGGACAGAGCAACGGAAATGGGCATGATCCAGGCCATGACCCCAAGGAGCTTCTCTCCAAAAGTCTGGGAGACAAAACAAAAGGGATAAGCAGGGAAGGAGGGGTGACAGCTCCCCGCCTCTCAGCTCAGACATCCTGGCTGGGAGAGCTTCTCCCCATCTCCTCCCTTGTGGGTCCCTCCAGCCAAGTTCCCTGAGAGCCCCTTCCTGAACCGCCGCTTCCCACTGTAACAGCTACACAGGGGCATCAATACGTGTCTTGGGCTAATTAACTGACAGAGACACTGTGTGGGGATAATAATAATTACTATTTACTATTTTTGTTTTATGGCTGAGGAAACTGAGGCACATAGTGATTAAGTAGCTTGCCGAAGCTCACACGCCCCGGGTCTATAGGGGCCAGGATTGGAAGCCAGGTGCTGTGAGTCCAGGCCTCATGTGTATTGCATGATTTCTGAAGCAAAGGGGCACAGTCTTGTGAGTCAGGCACACCTGGGTTCAAATCCTACTCCTCCACCTAGGCACTGAGAGACTTTGAGCAAGGTTCACAATTTTTGAGACTTAGTTTCCCATCTGTAAAATCGGGGTGAATTCTAATTCATAAGGTAAGAATTTCTAAATTCATAGAAACAGATGAATTGGGAGTAGAATGATAAGCACAAGCTCCTATGTAGGCTGAGAAGGAACAGATTGTGAGGCTATTGACTAGTCTTCATGTATTGAAGGACTGTGAGAGGCTGGGACCAGCTTTCCTGTATTCTCTGAGCCAGGTTCATGGCACATTACTGGGGAAGGCTGTGGGTCATAGGAACAGGCTGGGGGGCGGGAAGGGGAAAGGAGGGCTCTTTTCTTTACAGTCTTCAAAGATAAGACCGGGGAAGCCATGGGTTTGGCAGGGTGGGGTGGTGACCCAGCCTGAAACCAGGTGAGGGGGTGACATAGATCCCAGGTCTTTCTTGAATATAGAGGATCCCAGCCCCTCGGACCTAGGCGATCTTTCTCCAAAGAGCACAACCCATTCCTACCGTGTTTCCCCGAAAATAAGACCTACCCATAAAATAAGCCCTAACAGGATTTCTAAGCATTTGTGCAATATAAGCCCTACCCCGAAAATAAGACCTAGTGATGGGCGTGGCTACGCAGCGTATCTGCACAACCCATGCATTCTGTCGCAGGGCGGTAAAGAAGAGGAGCAGCCCTTCTCATCTGCCCCATCAGGACAGCTGCTATCCCAGAGGTGACTGGAAAGGTGCGGGCGGCCCCACCAACAATGTCAGCTTCTCCTGTCAGGTCCCGGCCATCCTGTGCGTGCTGCAAGCTGAGGCTTTGAGGGTAAAATAACACATCCCCTGAAAATAAGCCCTAGGGTATCTTCTTGAGGAAAAATAAATATAAGACCCTGTCTTATTTTCGGGGAAACACGGTACTTCTAAATCGCTCGCCAGCACCCACTTTTCCCTGCCAAGGGAAGGAGTCCGGCTGCATATTTTCTAGAGGAGGAAACAGAGGCAGAGAGAAATGGCATGCTTTGGCAAGATTCTATCTTTCTGAGGAGGAGCCTGTCTCCTTCATACCGTCCTCATCCTCACATGTAAAGTGCCCTAGATCAGAAGCCAGCAAACTTTTTCTGCAAAGGGTCAGACAGTAAATATTTTAGCTTCTCTAACAGTGTCGTCTCTGTGGCAATGACTCAGTTCTGCCACTGTAGCTGTTCTAGCTACAACCCAGCCACTGGTTTGCTCCTGAGCACTTGAAGATGCCCCCTGAGGACATGTGGTTTCTCCCCTGAGGACTTGGGGTGATTTCCGCTTCCACGAGGCCATGGATCAGGGAAAGGTGAGTGGGGCCACACAGGCAAGTCCACATCAGGACTCCTGGGGTGCGAGATCGGGACTTGGATTTCTTACCACAGCGACTGCATTGGACGCCAGCAGCTCCTGGGGGGACATTGCAGTGACATAAGCGACATTGGCAAAGACATACACAAATGTGACCAGTGGGATGGAGATGAAGATGGCTCTGGGAAGGTTCCTGTGGAGGGAGAGGAGGTGAGGGGGGCTGGCACCCAGGACGCCCACCTTGCCTGGGGCCCAGGGGGCACCTTCCACCTTCCTGCGCGAGGCTAACCCTGCGGCCTCCTGTGACGCTTCCTCTCCCTGGGAGGTGGGTTTTGTTCCAATATGGGCAGAATAATTTAAAGGAAATGGAACAGCTCATGTTGGAAATATGCTCCACACCTGTTGATCTCCTCTTGACCCAAATCTCAATAATACACCGTTCTCCCTGCCTCAAGACACAAAGACTGGCCTGTCCTGACACAGGTAAGATGCCCACAAGCCTCTCAGGGCACAGGCCATTCTCTAAGGCAGTGATGCAATTGCAATACGGTTTTCAGCTCTTAATCTGTTCTGGGACAGTCACTGGATCCTTTTCCTCCTCCTGGCAGGGTGGATGGCACATGGTTTATGTTCCTGGGAGATGAACCGTTATTTTTGGACAGACCTGATCACAGTCAGAATGGGGCAGGGGAAGGATAAGAGGGCAGTGGACACCTGTGCCCTCTTCCCCGCAGCAGGTGCTGGGGCCATCCAGGGAGAGGGGAAGAACTGGGCCATTTCAACTCACTTGTAGGGATCAACAAGTTCCTCAGTCACGTAATTAAGAAAGTTCCAGCCTCCATAGGCAAAGGAGCCCTGAAGGAAGGCCAGTGCGATGAGGCCGATGTCAGGTTCTTGGAAATTCTCAAATGCGTTCTTTGGCTCCAGCCAGAAGTATTCTCCTGTGGACACACCAGTAGGAGGCTGCTCAGAGAGACTCATCAGAGGCCCAGCAGCTCCTGGCCTGCCCTGGCTGGTCTCCCACTCCTTCCTGTGGTGAAAATACCAGCTCTTTGTCCTGTCTGCAGTGAACCCAATTACTGGAGAAGGGGAAATACAGGTTCAGGAGCTCCAAATGGGGAGTCAGATTCAAAGCACAGTTCTGCATGTTCCTTTTGTAAAAGGCAAAGTTTCTTGGAAGGAAAGGCCAGGTAAACTGGGCTGTGGAAATATAGGATCGGAGTCATCGGCAATCTCCTGACTCCCTTCCCTGATATCTAAGTTTGTACATTTTCATGAAGAAAACATCGTGAACAAGAAACTCTCAGATATAAGCTTCCATAACACTGTATTAGTTCAAGGTCGTTTTGCTTGCTTTGTTGATATCCTTCTATCTCTTTCTAAGGTGTGTGGTCTCTCTTTTCAAGGTATAGATTCCTGACAACAGGGGTCCCTTAGCAAAGAGCTTTTAAGTTGTCTTCCTAGTCCTTATCACAGTGTCTGGGTCACAGTGTCTGCCCTCAAAACAAGTTGCCAACTAAGATTGTAATGAGATACAGAATAACTGACCATATGTTACTTATTCACCTGTAATCCAGCTTTAGATAGGAAATTAGGAATTAGAGTGACCAGGAGAAAGAACTGAAACCAGATTAGGAGGGACTCACTATTTTTGTTTTTATTTATTTTTTTTTGTTTGTTTGTTTTGTTTTGAGACAGAGTCTTGCTTTGTTGCCCAGGCTTTGTGCCAAGGCATCAGCCTAGCTCACAGCAACCTCAAACTCCTGGGCTCAAGCAATCCTCCTGCTTCAGCCTCCCAAGTAGCTGGGACTACAGGCATGCACCACCATGCCCCGCTAATTTTTTCTATATATATTAGTTGGCCAATTAATTTCTTTCTATTTATAGTAGAGACGGGGTCTCACTCTTGCTCAGGCTGGTTTTGAACTCCTGACCTTGAGCAATCCGCCCGCCTGGGCCTCCCAGAGTGCTAGGATTATAGGGGTGAGCCATCGCGCCCGCAGAGACTCACTGTATTTGCGAAGACAGAGCAGTGATTTCCTTAAGTCTAAATTCCTGAAAACAATATAACCTGCTAAGGCACTTAATCCAACTGATTAAAGGAATCAGGCACTTTATATAGAAGAGATTTAATTATGATTCCTGGAGTAAAAACCCAGGCTCCCCACACTGCCTTCAGGGCTTGTGGGCGGGTAGGAGGTCTCCCTGTTTGTCATCTGACTTTCTCCGTGAGGCAGTGACACTGGGCAGAGCCTCGTGGTGCCACGGGTCCCATGGAAACCAAATACAGTTTCAGTCTTGGAAAGAACCAAATCCACTGGGGAATGTTGGCAGGAGCCCCGGGAATGTAGAGCTCTCTCTTGCAGGGATTATAAGTAATTTTGAAGCATATAAAATTCTCCTTCTCTGTCCTCCATGGACAAGACACACTATCTAAGATGCAGGGAGCTTCCCTGGGGTTAGGGTAAAAGGGCAGTAGGAGTCCAGAGAGGTGGGGTCTTTACCCAGCTGTGCTGGGGCCATGAGTTGAGCATGGGAGGATTGACTTTTGCAGACTAGGGGAAGCATTCCCTACTTCCAACCACCCTGGGAAAAATGGTTTCTCTTCTCCTTTGTCAAGCAAGGGAAGATGAAGAAGAGAAGTCACTCAAGGCCAGAATTAGGAGATCTCAGGGTGTGTACATGCAAGGGGTGGAGGAAAGTTGGGTGTGGCCCTGCTGTTCCCAAGACACTCACCTTTGCATATCTGTACAACTCCCATGATGATGATCAGGGCCAAGGCCAGGAGCTTGCCAGCTGTGAAGATGTCTTGAACCCGGGTGGCCCACCGCACACTGGAACAGTTGACCCATGTGAGGAGCACTGAAACGAGAGACCCCCTAAACATACACTCAGGGACCACATGAGGCTGCACACTGCCCACTGCACAGAGGCAGAAGTGCTCCTTGTTCCTGAAGGTGGGATTATCACAGGCAGGCCAAACATCCGGCATGCTCAGCCCCAGTGACCAGAAACATTGGCTAGGTTAATGGGTTACAAAGGGGATTACGTGCCCCAAATTAGAGCTTGGTCAGAGCATGCCCTGCCCAGGGCTGGAAGCCAGAAGCAGGCATGGAAAAGTAAGCATGGCTTTAGGGGGAAAAATTAGCATCTGACCAGGTATGGGCTTTGTCTTCAAGTCATGATCTTTGTAAGGAGAGCCCTGAGCAGCTGGTGGGATCCTGGATGTCACCTTCCTGAGCCTGAGTTTGGGGTAACAGGTTTAGGGGAATCTTCTGTTACATAGGTTTATTAAGATATAATCTACACCTAGTAAAATTCACCTTTTAAAATATACAGTTTGATGAGACTTGACAAATGTATTTAATTGCTTAATCACTACCACATTCAATATGTAGAATACTTCCAACACTCCAAAAAGTTCCCCTATGTGTTTTGCTCCTTTGCAGTCAATTAGCCAATGCTCTCCCCTTATCTCTGGCAACTACTAAATTGATTTCTGTCCCTATAGTTTTGCCTTTTCCAAAATATCACACAGGTTTCTTTCACAAAATATGATGTTCCTGTTGTTCTTTTTTTTTTTTGTTCTTTTTTTTTGAGACAGGGTCTCACTGTGTCCCCTAGGCTAGAGTGCAGTGGCATAATCATAGCTCACTGTAACCTCAAACACCTGGCCTCAAGCAATCCTCCTGCCTCAGCCTCCCAAAGTGCTAGGATTATAGGCCTGAGCTATGGGTCCGGCCTCACTTAACGTAATGCTTTTGAGATCTATTCATGTTGCTGCATATATTAATTTGTTCTTTTTTATTGTCAATAGTATTCCATTAGATGAACCTATCAGTTATTTTTCTATTCACCAGGTGATAGATGTTTGGATTATTCCCAGTTTGAGGCTATTTTGAATAAAGCTACTATAAACACTTGGGTAGAAGTCTTTCCATGGATTGTAGAGGTCTTTGAGTGGGATTTTCATTTCTCCTCAGTAAATTCTCAGAAATGGGATTCTGGGTCATATAGTTAATATATGTTTAACTTTATAAGAAACTGCCAAATTGTTTTCCAAAGTGGCTGTCTAATTTTACATCCCCACGAGCCATGTGAGAGTTCCTATTGCTGTGTATACCTGCACACATTTGGCATTGCCAGTTTCAAAAAAAAAAGAAAAAAAAAAAAGGAAGAAAAGAAAGAAAGAAAGATAAAAATCTGGCTATTCTAATAGGCATGTAGTAGTATTTCACTGTGGTTTTGATTTGCATTTCCCTAATGGCTAATGATGTTGAGCAAGTTTTCATATGCTCATTTGCCTTCCATCTACATATCTTGTTTGGTGGGGTAGGTGGGGGAGTTAGCTCTGCCTTCTTACCCAAAAGTAACAGGGTTCCTACAGAGACCCCAACACTTAAGAATAAAGGGGAAGCAACTCAGGAGGCTGAGGCAGGAAGAGTCCAAGAGTTTGAGGCTTCAGTGAGCTATGATCATTCCACTCTGCACTCTAGCCTGGATGACAGAGTAAGACCTTGTCTCAAAAAAAAAAAAAAAAAAAAAAGAGGCCGGGCGCAGTGGCTCATGCCTATAATCCTAGCACTCTAGAAGGCTGAGGGGGGAGGATCACTCGAAGTCAGGAGTTCGAAACCAGCCTGAGCAACAGCGAGACCTCGTCTCTACTATAAATAGAAAGAAATTAATTGGCCAACTAATATATATAGAAAAAATTAGCCAGGCACAGTGGCATGTACCTGTAGTCTCAGCTACTCGGGAGGCTGAGGCAGGAGGATCCCTTGAGTCCAGGAGTTTAAGGTTGCTGTGAGCTAGGCTGATGCCATGGCACTCACTCTAGCCTGGGCAACAAATCGAGACTCTGTCTCAAAAAAAAAAAAAAAAAAAAAAAGAAAGAAAGAAAGAAAAAAAGGGGGGAAAATCACCGGGCGTGGCTCACCCCTGTAATCCTAGCACTCTGGGAGGCCGAGGTGGGAGGATGCCTTAAGGTCAGGAGTTCAAGACCAGCCTGAGCAAGAGCAAGATCCTGTCTCCACTAAAAATAGAAACAAAATTAATTGGCCAATTAAAAATATATAGAAAAGATTAGCTGGGCATGGTGGTGCATGCCTGTAGTCCCAGCTACTCGGGTAGCTGAGGCAGAAGGACTGCTTGAGCCCAGGAGTTTGAGGTTGCTGTGAGCTAGGCTGATGCCATGCACTCTAGCCTGGGCAATAGAGTGAGACTCAGTCTCAAAAAAAAAAAAGCGGGGGGGGGGGGGGGGGGGGCGGGAGGGGGGAATCCTTTTGCTCCTCATCCTAAAACAGCCACCAGAACATCCTCTAGTCCTCAGAAGATACACATCACACATGACACTATTTCTGTTTCCTCAAGCCTCTAAACAGGGCTCTGACTTCACTTGAATGGCTGATCAAGTTTTATCAATATTTTGTCCTTAAACTGTGCTTTACTTTCCAAGTATTTCCCAACCTTACTCAATTCTGAGAACATTTTGGCAGGATAGGGAGGTCCTGACATTATCCATCTGTAACCTTCCTCACCTTCCTTCCCGCACCATCTCCACCTGGCCATCTCCTCATCTTTCAAGATCCAGATCAAATGTCACCTGTTCTGTGACTCTTTATAATTTATAATTTTATTTATTCCTAGCAACATGCCTGCAAGGGAAGATATATCAGCTGTGTTTTATAGACAAGGAACAAAATTTGTTCCTCTTCCCTAGAACAATCCAAGACCACTTTGTTTATATCCAATTTTCATACTATTTTTGTTTTAAAATAGTTTGTGTCTTTTTTCCCTCTCCTTGTAGACTAGGAGGGCAGGGACTGTGATTTTTTCATGTTTTTAATCCCAGGGCATATCATTACTGTCTGCAAATAGTAGGTACTCAACAAATATCCAATAAATGAATTTTTACAATGCCACAATTCACTAGTTTTCCAGTATTACCTCAGTCTATGCATTCCACACAATGCACACCAATCTTCCCTGCTCCCCAGGAATCTCATCAAAAGGAGACACATTCCCCAGTTGGTTTTACAGAGCCAAAAGAGCAACAGGAAGCTTGACTCCAGGAGTAGAAACTCTTGACTCCTGGTGGAGGAACTGTTATCCAAGATGGTGTCATATAAGGAGAAGCAAAACATGTTGTCAGAGGAAGGATTTTAAGTGCCTGAACAGAGAACATTTTGTAAATACTTTAATGTTCCAGATGGATGGAGACATCCTGATAAATACACACTTGGTTTATCTTACTCAATTCAATAAAGATTTCAGGATCATGTGCCTGGTGACAATCCAACCCAAATCACTTTGACAACTGGGTCTGTGATCTCAGCCTTTCCCCAGGGCCCTGAGGTATGTGGGGTAGAGGCTGGGCCCCCATACCCCGGAATTCAGGCAGACACAGCAATAACGGCTACAGGATAAAAGAGACTGACTTACAACAGGATGGATGATGAGAAAACAAAACCCATGAGCCTCGGGGATAGGTAAGGATTACAGAATAAGGAACCTGGGCAGAGAGGGCAGGCAGGGTGGTGACAGACAGTGCTTACAGAAAATAAGGGCAGAATAGGACAACTCAAAGAAATTCCTCCTCCCCCAAGCAGGAGGGGGAAGGTGGCCACCTCCTGGAGAGCCAGGATAGAAAACATAAAGTCATCTCTTTATAAGACGACCTTGTGGAGGCAGACAAAGACTCACTCCTGCAAACTGTCAGCTCCACGGGGTGCTCCTGCGGGTGAGGAGAGATGTTTGCAGGGTAGGGAAGCTTTGTCAAATAATCTCCCTGTGGGTGTCTTCCGTCCTGCCTCATCTCATCTCCACAACTTCCTAAGAAGCCAGCCATGACTAATATTTAACTTTTTACCTTCACAGATCTTTCAGAAATAAAGAGAGAAATTCTGAGAATGAGGTGGGGACAGGCAGGCTGCCTGTGACACCTTGTTTTCCGGAACAATGGCTGCAGGCCCCAGGTCTGACCTTTTACCCTGTAGCAGAGGGATCACAGCATGTGACTGAGGGGAAAGAGGGCACTTGCAGGCTCCTGGTACCACAGGACACCTTCCCTCACAGCAGGCTGAAACCAGAGCCTCCGTCCAGAGAGGAAAGGTCAGTGAGTGAAGGCCCCACTCAGGAGTCCTGCTGCTTCCTGTCTGCTACCTGGCACTCCTTTCCGTTGCTCAAGACTATGTCCTCTCTCTCTTCTCAGTTACACCCTGAATTCTGCGTGCCTGAGATACAGTGACCTCAGGGAAGCCACACATAGATGGAGACCAGTGGCCACTGCGGCTTGAAACATGAGGGGGTCTCATGCATCTGTTTATCCATCATCTGCACAGGGCCCACATGGGCTAGGCACTCTGTCAGGTGGGGAGGTCACACATAAGACACAAGTCCCTGCCCTCAGGAAGCTGACAGTGTAATGGGGGCGATGGGTGAACTAAGAGACGACCACAAAACAATGTGGAGACGGCAGAGCTATTTACGGAAGCTGGTGTGCATCCATGAGGAGTCCCTAACTTAGGCCAAGGGGGTCAGAGATGCTTCCTTTAGGAGGAAGAGACCCTAGCAACATGAAGAATGTTATAATTTTAGTACGGCTGGACAAAATAAAAAGGCATAGGACTCTGGCTCTTGTCCATTTTAATCTAGCTGTGGAGTGGTCAGTGCTTCTCCAGAGCCCCCCATTTGGAATCCCAAGCTTATATGCATTTCTTAGGCATTTTCTCCCCTCTCTTTTGCTACCTGGGTAAAAAATAAGAGGAATAGTCTATTAAGACAAGGGTGCTGGGAGGCCGAGATGGGAGTACTGCTTGAAGTCACGAGTTCGAGACCAACCTGAGCAAGAGTAAGACCCTGTC